TTTTTTTTCTTTTTCTTTCCTCTTCAGAAATTTATTCACAAACTTAATTTCGCACGCAGAATAATTTTCAAAATGAAAAATAATACGATTTCTAACAGATGTTTATATTTTTCTTTCACAATTTGTTTTTTGCAAACGCAACACAAAAGGAAAGTTTTGCGGTAACTTTTCTTGGTTTTTAGGCGAGGCAGTTTTCTCATCTTAACAATGTCGTGCCATGTAGATAGTTTTTTATATCCACCACTGAGAGATGGTGGTATATTCATTATGTTTTTCTTTTCACAATGTATGTAACACCCAAAAGGAAGCTTCAGAGACCCTTTAAAGTATATATTCTTGAGCAGCGTGAAATTCTGAATGGATTAAGCTGTCTGTCCGCCTATATGTCTGTGTGCTGTTTGCTTTTGTCACTCTTTTGATCGGAAAAATGAAGATCTCGATTTCAAACTTGGTAAAAACATTGGAAGTTTTTGCACAAGCCCACTGTGGATTATAAACTGAACGCAAATACATTTTGTAAACAAAAATTTACCAGTTTTGCTCGTTACTCGCAAATTATAAAATCTAGAAAGCTGAAATTTTCCGCACTTCCTTTGCAAAACACTCTACTCATTATAGACGAAAATAAAAAAATCGGCTATGTCCACAGAAAGCTACAAGTAATTAAATTTTATTTTTTCAATCTTTTGAGGTTTTATGCCTGTCATTATCTATCGTAACACAAGCCAGAATGTTTAAACCTACTTTGTTCATTCCTCAAATTATATGATATACAAATGCATAAAGTAAATATAATGATAATCAGTTTATCAAACAAAAAAAAAAATGTATTAAATTAAATTTCTGTTTTTTGAAAGAAGATTCGACTAGAGGGATCAGGAGACTCCCGTATAAAATCTTGGGCCGTTGGAGATCATAGGTACGACAAGATATACAGTGGCCGGGGCGTAAGATGATCAAGCATGGTAAGTATGTTTAGTTCGTCCCTTCGCTTTCGTAAGTGTCATTGCGCGTGCATTTCTTGAATATAGTCGTCTGTGTAGGGTCTGAAGGAAAACATTTGAAACTCCTCCCTTTCCTGCTAAACTAGCTAACTTTTTAATGACATGTACGTCCATCCGTTTACAGCTTCTCACCTTTTTCACCTTCTCAAAATTATAATGTTTTATTACACAATAGGAGAAGAAAGCGCTATCGCATAGTGCAGTATATAGACTCGCGACTGCCATACCTTATAAATAACTTTGTAAGAAATTAAATACACTTATGTTCGCCTTTAATACTTTACATGGACTTATATTTGTCTTTAATACTTTATTGCCTATAATAATACAATATAATAATAATATAATATAATAATAATATAATATAACGTCATTGTTTTAACACTGACACTTAAGTTCACTTCGCTATTACTTTAGGCCTGAAAACATTTTAAGTAAAAATATGTCTACTTTGAAAACTGCGCTTTACTGCGCTTTGTTGTACTTTATATAATAGTGCAATTTAACTCCTTTAGCCGTAAGAAAGTTGGTTAACACGGTTAAATGCGTAATTATAAGCACCGATGAATAAAGAAACAATTAAAAAAAAACTCAGAGCAGCACAAGTAAAAATTGGCGCTCAACGTGGGGCCCGAAGAATGTTCAGGTAAGGAAACAACGTACGTTACAACTCATACAACTAAACTCTAAACAAGTTAAAAATACGAATTATCTCTTATAGAAAACCGTAAATCTGCATCTATGTGTAGGCTCTTTATAAATGCAATATTGAGTTTATGGTGAAATGGATAGGCTTCACTATTTTATAAGTTCCACGAGGAATGAGGATAATTAACTTGGAAAGTAGGTCGAAGCAGTAAAAAGCTTAACAATATATGAGCATTAAATATAATATGTGACAATTCAATCAGGCAATTTAAATTATCTCATGAGAGGACCTTGGGCTCAGGAAAGAACCTCACAGTACCATCACCTACAGATCGATATGGATAGAAGTTCAAGTAGGTAGACATTTATGTTTATTATAAATATATATATGGGCGTGTGATGCATGTAGAGTGTATGTACAAATTCGAGTAGTTAGTTCATACACAAGCACAAGTACATGTATATGAGTGTAGGTATATAATTCAGAAGTGCACAGAGGTGTAATTCGAATTTAAGTACTTCGCTTTTATGTAAGTACTTAAATAAGAATACATTTATATGAATATATCGGCGTAAGTTTACAATAGCGAGCAAGTATATCTGTGAAGCAGGGCTTCGGGCAGCCTTGCTTTCTTACAAGATAAATCATAAAATCTCGCAACACTTTAACAGACAAGAAATATATTTTCATAAAATTCACATAATTCACGAAAATGATAGGATAGTACAGTGATTGCGACATGGGTTTCAAATGGGTACCTGCCTTGATGGCTTAATTCCACGGTGGCCCAAGCCACGTGGGTTATTTAAGGGTAACCCACGCCTCCAGGCGAAATAGACAATCCCTATAAACTAGGGGCCTAAACAGCACCAGAGTCCAGATTGTTTATTGTGTATGGCTCAATAAACCCACTCTGATCAATGTTGAGGCCTATTCGCACCTTGATTTGTTCCACTTTGGCTTGGAATGAATGAAAACCACAACCACCACGAATACTCACCGAAGGGCCATACCCAAGCAGTCAGAGCTCACAAATTGATCAACTTCAATGCGTTCAAGGGAATAGGCTCGTTCCACCGTAGTTTCTAGGATAGTACAAGCAGACGAGTAGGCGTTTCATGTTAATTATATAATAAATAGGTGGTTTCTAATTTCGAGTCCAAAATAAAAAATCGTATTTTTTTTTTATTAATTTATTTTTTAATCAACTTCATTAAATTGCAGCGTAAAGGATAACTAAAACATTGAAATTTACAATTAATTTGATCTCTTTTGTACAATTATTTTGTTTTTGTCCTTCGTTTTCGCAAGTTAATAACGACGTTGTTAACTTTTGATTCAAAACACGAAATTTCATATAAAGGTACAGCAACGATGAATGCAACCACAAGTTTTGTTTTTCAAATGAAAACTTTTAATCTCCCAAAGCACTGGCGTAAACCAGAAAAAGCAAAACAAACAAATAACTTATAAAAAGTCAGTTAGCGATTTTAGAAGTCGATTACATACTGAGGTATTTTAAATAGTAAAGTATAGTGACAATTCATGGAAGTGCGAATTATTTTAGCTGTTAGTGTTACTCGAGATAGGAGTATGGAATGGAATTTGGAAATAATACAACAGGCAGAAGCGCCCTGTCCGAATTATTTTCCTAATTTGCTACCAAGTTTTAGGATAGGCAATTTAAAATTTTAGTTTGCAAACTGTCAAATTTTCAAAATGCTTCTTAGACAAAACTTTCTGAACTTACGGTTTATTATTTATTATGAAGCACATTACATTTAATTAACATTAAATTTTTACAAAAAAAGTCAATTTATACTCTTGAGTAGCCGGGTAGGCAAACGACCGCGATTCACAATTCAATTGTGCTGGCTTATGATCTCAAGGTCGGTAGAGTTTAAATATATACTTGTAAATTTATTTCAAAAATATATAGATAACAAATAGACCTCTATGAGGGTTTAACGTGGGTACGCTACCGTGAAAGTTCAACCTCACGGTGCCCGATGACACACGGAGTGTGAAACACTGGGATTTCCCGACGTTAATGATCCCTGCAACATACAGTGTCGAGCTCGGCGGACACGTCGCCATGAGGAAGATTACGTTCTCGAGTACTAGACGATATACGTTATGGTCACATCCCTCCTCTGGTGAAAGCGAGGCACTATCTAAAACCTCTGCCTTTCTGCGAATAAGCCACCCGGTTGCGACATAACTCCACATCGAGCAAAAGCTCTTCCCGCGATTTTGGTCTAATCATAGTCACTACGAAACCCCCGCTAAGGGTCGTTCCCGTTGGCAGGCCTAAGCTAGAGGAAATGCTTTGGGGATTCCTGCTGAGCGTGGTAGCAGAATTTAGGAAAAAATTTTTAGAAGAAATTTATAAAAGTCTTCTGTCGGATTTTCTAGGTCCCATTAGATCCGAACTCGGCACGAAATTGTCATTCGAAGGAAACTAGTCCATACTAAGCGCATGGGCATAGTATTCTCACTCACCGGGCGATGCCTTTTAAAATAAATTTTTATGGACAGAGTCCGAAGACCGAATGAACAGGGATGAAGGCGAAACCAGGAAGCGACTTTTCCCACATCAACAACCAGAAGGAAGAAGCCTCTGGTAAGACTTAAGAGATCCATGCAGCTCCAAACCCCCTATTATTCAGTTATTATCACCGTAAAAGAGGAGCATGGAAGAGGATCAGACAGGGTTGTCCAGACCATGTCTCTCAGTGCTGCGTCTAATGAATGCCTGTGTAGCGTACGTGTCCACTGCTGCCACCGTGTCAGAAGTAGAGAGGGTCGAAGACCTGAAGTTAAAGTTCTCAGTCGCTTGTCGTATATCCATTGCTTCTAAGTCTGTAAGATCCGTTTACTTGGAACATACACACAAACCAATCTCCAGACATGCCGCATAGGCAACCCCTAATTCCCGAAAGATATGTCTTCTGCAGGAATGCATTAAGCCATCCGTGGTCCGTAAGCAGAAATCCCCGAGGAAGCCTAAAGTTAAAATCTGGATGCTTTTGTACATATGAGACATCGCGGATAAAGTCAGAGGTTGCTCTGCGTTTCGAACGGGATTGTTAAGAGGCACGGACACGTTTCTTTAAAAGCATGATACGCTCCCTGAAATTTAACTTTTCTACTTCATCATTATTTAAACCGTCAGTTGGCAGTAACGGCAGTCTCCTCATTATCTTGAAGACAGTACGAATTCGCATGATGAACATGCTGACAACTCAAAATTTTATTTTGGCCAACAGCCGGGATCGCTCGGTTCCATATTGGTGACCCATAAGTCGCACAGACCACGAATATTCCATCATATATGGCGCGAACAGCTCGTCTGGTTAACCCCCATTCACACCGTAGGAGACGATAAAACTGTCTTACCACATTCATAAGTTTTTCCTTCACTCTTGCAAGGTGAGCGGAAAAATTCACTATTTGACATATGCTAATTCCTAAATATTTGACAATAGTCTTGTATCTAAGACTAGCCACATTCATTCTAGACACTGAAAGTCGACCATGAGAGAGACAACCTTTTAATAGCATCATCACGGTTTTCACCAGCGACGCAATCACAACAACTTGCCGGCGCTCTGTAACCATGTGTAATATATGCTCTCTAAACTGCTGAAGAACAGCTCGCGATTGGCCTTCGACTAGGATGAGCAGATTGTCGAGAGATGCAGAACACTTGCATAAGTCATCTGGCCGCCTTAACAGAGGATCCATCATGATGTTCCAAATGGCCCACAGATAGATCCATCCTGGCAACCTCTTACTACATTTCTATATTATCATATCGATAGAACCGAGAGCGCATGCACGTCGTTGAGAGAAATAACTTGCCCAGAGCTTGATTTATGGGCAATTTACTTCTTGTAGCCTTCCAAGAACTTTTCTCATAGCAGACAATCAAACGCACCCTTGAAGTCTTCAAATATTCCCAACATGCACTTTGCTTCCAAGCATCAGCATATTTCTGCACATGCAGCCAAGCGTTTTCGGTAAAGATTCCTTATAGGAACCCTAACTGCTTCTTAGACACACCCAGATTAGGAATCCCCAGCAGCCTTTCTACCATAACCCTTTCCAGTAGTTCACCGAGCACTGGGAAGAGACTGAGGGCCAGGTAAGAGTTATGATCACTCCTAATTTTATCAGGCGACTTCAGGAGCGGCATCCAGCCATTTTCCACTGGGCTGGAAAATAACTACCCGCTGGGTATTGACTGGAAATCTTACAGAGATAATCAGGAACAACTTTCCAAATGGCTTCTACTATTTTATCAGTTATTCCGTCCAAACCTGGCGACCTTTTCGCTTTGGTATTAGCGATGGCACATCCAATTCAATATTCTTTCAAGTGTGGCGGAGAAGATGCCATCCGATGTTCAGGAGGCACAACTTCATCCAATTCTGGGAAGAAGCTACCCATTAAAACGCCCAGACACTCTTTCCCGGTAGGAAGTACTGTGCCGTTAGCACTAATACCACAGACTTCCAACTGCCTCCAAAAGCCTTCCAGTCATCTTCCTTCGATTTTGAAAGCATACGTTTGTACTCATAAAGGCCTTGCCTTGAATAAATTCTAAGTATTCTAAGCATCCGTAGTATCGGACGGCCTCGCACGCTGAAAATTCCGCCTAAGACGGCGAATGGCTCTTCACTTCGCGGACAGAGCGGCTAGCCTTCGTCGCTTTGGCTTGCGAAATTTCTCAAGGAGCAAGTCGTTCAAACCACAAACGGACTGGGAAATATACTCTACCTACCCATCCAACGATCTATAGGCAAAAACCTCAAGCGATACAGCAGTCACCACTTCCCTTATGTGAACCCCGCAGGTATCACAATTTACCCCGCGACGTTCAATTATGTAGATGTAGAAAGAGTATTGTTAGCGACCACTTTAATGAAGTTGTGATCACTAAACACCCATACACCTTTGACCCCCCAAGAGAAATCAAACACTCCAACTGCAGCCCCACTTGCGATAGAGATATCAATGTCACTAGCACCAACCGGACCGTGGAACGTAAACCACTAACTACGGTCATTCAAATCATCAACATTTCGTGATGCACGCCATTCGGATAATACGTGCCCCCTCAGCTGATTTCGAAGACCAGGCACACGTTTTGGCATCTTACTAAACCAGAAGGGGAAACAGGCATTTGCATCGAGTCCCAAAATTAAAGGGTTAGTACCTGCAAACAGTAAGACCGAATCCATAGACTTAGTATACCCGTCCAGTTGTTGATTGAATGTACAGTAGAAGCTGGCTACGAGCAGTATCTCTCGCCATGGTTACTGGCTTTAACAATTGTCTTGTCCACAATTACATAGTTTACTATGGCAGCAGAATGGTAACCGGAGTCAAGAAAAACCCGCATTCCCGTTTGCAAGCCTCTAATCCAAAAGCGTAGGATTCCTGCACCAGTGCCACTGCGCTGCCAAACTGACCCATACAATGATCCAACTCATGCAACGCATAATAACCGCGGTTGCAATTATACTGCAGGATGAGCAGAGCCATATTAATGTCTAGCCGCTACCCGCGCGATCGTCCTGTTATATTCAGGAGGGCCCGGGACAACATGAAATGTCCAGCAGGAAGCCCCGGAATTCACTATTTCGGCAGTGTGCAGCGTTAGTACATATACTGTGCCGGTGGCCGTTTTGGCCACTGTGTCTGCAGACAACAGCCTGAACTCCACATTCTTTCACCCTATGGTCAAAGCTTAAGCAACGAAAGTAAACAGGCACGTCATCATATTGGCGCACTACGCAAGAATGGTAATTATCGTATACCCTACCGACACTCAAGAGAATATCCATTGCAGGGCATCCTTCAACAACGACGTTGGCCGTACTGCTACTCTTAACCCAATGTTTCGAGACCATTCGAATAATCGTTTTGAATTCCCCAGCAGAGAATAGGATTTTAAAGTTCATCTCATATAAGCCCTCCATCAAAGCAGACGGATCAAGCATTTAATGCACGGACTGACACAATACCTTCGGGGTCAACTTCTCTTCAACCGAGATATTATGCTAAACTTCCCGAAACT